ATAATCAGATTAACGTTAACGCAAAGTGACATATCCATTGCTTCAACGAGAACTAGACACTAACGAACTCTTGGAATTGTCGTCGATAGACTGAGATTATGCTCATCAGTCAAGGTGGTTTACACAGAAAAAAATCCGCACAATCAAAACACTCCATTTACATCACAATAATGGTGCGTGAACATTTCTATCGAGTCATTCTCAACGTTTTTGCTTCTAATTTCAATTATGTAAATTACAATCAATCAATTATAATAGTCAATCATGTCGATCTTCACTTCATCAATAATTATCGAAAACGAATCTATTCATTTCCGACAATTAAATGTTTTAATATCTTTTTACTGAATTTATGTGCCTAAAAAAAAAACATATTTTATATAAAAAGATCTTAACGATATCGACAGTCACTGATTTCCTGTTATTGAAGTTTTACTGAGGTAGATCACAGAGACGCATGAAACATACTTCTGCTTCAGGAACGAGAAGATAAAAATCCAATGTATTCTCGGAATGCTACAGCCAAAGCAAACAAAGAAATGTAAAACGGTGGCGACAACGCAATGGTCTCAGTAGCCGTGTTCCTTTCCAGAGATAATAATCAATCAGCGGACGCAAATTCGTAACGAGAAACCTAGGTTGCAACACCAGCCCCTATGACGTTTGCAAATATTGACTTTTTTATATATGTTCAACTGCGTGGAGGTGCGCGATGGAAATATGATTCCATAACTTTCTCCCGAAGTATGCCTGAACGTACTTTTTCTTGAATTACCGGAATCTATACATTAATATTCATAGTGTATACTGCAAACCACGTTCACTTTTCTATGGCCAATCTACCGATCGACTGTTTTGACCGTGATCGTAATATTTAACATAGTCAGATAAAGTCGGATGACGCTGTCTGAATAAAATTAATGCCCCAGCCACCGTTCAATTATCGTGCAGTTTAATTGATTTCGTTGAATTATATAGCTCGATTTCAATAATGAAAAATTGCAATTAAATTTTCTACTTGCCAAATATAGAAATACTAGTTGTTCGACATCTTAATAAAATTTCAAATACATCGTCAATAGATCGTACATTATTATATGTATGCAGATTTAATTAACTACCAAGAGTAATCAGTCACCTTTTTTAATATTCCTGATTATATGGTACAACAGTGGGATCAATCAACTTTTGCGAACATGACCAGAGTTCACTTGTTGCATGAAATAAAAGAATAATTTTCCTACAATTTATCGAGCTTGGTAATAGTTGACTTATGACAGGATATTAATTCCTCGATCTTTGTTTAGTTGATAATCAAAGGGTTGATACCTTCGATAACGTTATTAAGCATTAGCAAGCATGAGATCATCGATATCATATAAATAACGACATATTTTCGTTGAAGCTTATCAAGCTATTCTTGTCCATTCGGTCAGACGAGTATGTACATATCTGCACTCGAAGATGTAAATTTACTTTTATACGGAAAGAATTTTACTTGTTATTAATAAATAAACGAATGATCAGTTTCAGGTCAGCGTAAAGAATTAAGAATATGTAGATACAAAAAATGAACAAACAGCTCTTGTGCACGCAGTTGTAGAATGATACTTGCAAGATAGGCTTAATCGGTTGTTGACTATGTGCACGTGTATTTGTAATTCTACATTTTTCTATGTTTGGTCAATGTTTCTTTATAGACCCACGTTTAATTAAAATCATCTACATTCATGTTGACAGAATTCTTTTTATAAATTCTTCCTCCTTATCTATTATTGGAATATAAATAAAACTACCACGGATCCTTAAACTCCGTCACTACCTTTTACAATATTTCAGTTATTTTCGTTCTACGAATCGTCACTAACGTAATGTTTGAAGTCGGAGTGCAATTATACGTTCGATATTTCGAGTTCAGCTCTTTGCGAAATTTCGCGCGCGTGCAGCGGTCCAAAAGCAACAAACGGTCGCGAAAAGGCGAAAACAGGAGGGTCCCCGGAATTTTTCCAACGTGCAGAGAAAATAAGAAAGACGAATAGGTATCGAGCGATACACAGCACGGTTGAGGATCGTCGGATGGGAAATCACTGAAGTATAAATAGAGGATGACTCGTGGTCTGGACTCGCGTGGACATCGTTAGCCGATGATCGTAACTTTAATACCACCAACTAGGTGTCGATACATTTTCGATCCGTAGATCTTATAAAGTGCAGTCAAGTTTCGTGTCAAATGATACATCAGACACAGCACGTCCTTACAGCATCGTTCCGTGTGATCCAAAAATAGGCAAGGCAAGACTCGAGAGTAATAAAACATATACGCTCTCTTGTCTACTGATAACTGATAAGAGCCGAAACCATCGTGTACCGCATTATTACTTTTTTATCTCGCTCGATTTAACACTGCCGAACAGCAATTGTACATCTGACGGTTTTCATTAGACGTGTCGATCGATCATTATTACACCTCGCGTTTGTAATCATACACTTGGATACTTACACTGTTTTAAGTATTGGTAAAATTTTAATCAATGCTTGCGTAGATAGTTTCGGTCCGTAAAAATGACGTAATTCGATCTCTAGCATCTATCGATACGTGTCCATAAATAAGGAGAGAACAGTAAAGAATTGATTTTACTATAGAACTCGTTAACATTTCACTTTAATCCGTACACACACGTGAATAATTTGTGTGCGGAAGTGGCGGGAGTCGGATTAAAACCGAGTTCGTGAAAGAAAGTAGAGAAATTATCTCACCTTGAGCGCGTACTTCTCCCTGGTGTTTTTATCATAACACTGAACAACTTTCCCATTTATTCCAAGACCAAGCACGTAATTACTGATTTCGTAGTCGTCGGTGATGGGCGTAACTTTTGGTAAACGGGACTCATATCTCGGCAGGGTGTGTTCCATGGTTTTCCGTTTGGTTTCCACCACGACCGAAACCTCTTCCTGTTTCTTCGATACCTCGATCTCCGTTTCCGCTGCCCGTTTCCGTTTTCCTTTCTTATTCTCCTCGGTCTCTTCACCGTTGGGCCTCTTGCACTTTCTAAAATGGTAATCGATCGTCAGTTCTCTCGTCCCGACAGGGAGAGATCCCGCTCTTTTTTCAATGTTCTTTCTATTTTCGAATGAGAAACAACGAATATAACCAACAGTATAAATATACGGAACAAATTGAAACACTTCATGAGAAATGCGAGAAAGTACGACGATCGGTACGATATGTTGATAAGGATAAACGTTAGAACGATAGCACATGTCGTGCTAACACTTGTGAATGCGTCACAACTAATGACAGTAGCATACTTGGATACAAGAAGATTGTTCGCCAGCGAAAAGCTATTTTATCGCTCATAGGGTACGGTGCTCACTTTATCTTTAACAATAAGACTGGTTCACATAATCGCTGTAAAGTGATTTACTTCGATTTACGAAAATACGATTCTCCAATCGTGTACATCGCAAATTTTATACATTATCTACAGGTTTGATCTAGCGTTAAGAAATCACAGCGTGTTCTTTTTTAAATAAACGCTCAGCGACTGGGCGTTACGACAAGAATTGTTAATATACTTATAATTATGTACATTATGAATATGCTTTATAAACAATTGTCCAAAAATTGTAATAGATTAATATAATATTGAAATATTCTCATAGCATTAATAAAGAGTAAGTTTAATGATATACAGTTATATGTACGTACACAAATACGCACTATTACTCTTAACTGATTCCAGTAAGGCTATATAGGTATAATACATAGATCAATATACGTGATTGGTGCATTTTGAAATTATCAACGGATAATCTCAATCGGGTCCGCTGAGTATGTGCACAGCGTTGATAAAGTGGAACAGAAAACGCTGGGGACGATTGATTGACAATCCACAGAGGGTAAAATATTCTCAGTGTTAAAACCCAATTGTTAAAACGTCAGCGAAAATTATAAATCTCGTTGCGCAAATTATAATTTACATGAAATTAAGTAATAATGTGCAACGATTATGATTGCACAAGTAATAAATAAACGATGATGAGGCATAAATGCTCACAGTTTGTATGATCGAAACGCAAAAGTAAGTTGTTAATGGCGACACGCTGTTCGAATAATTTTCGGTTACAAATATCAGAGGGATAAAGTATGTACATATATGTATAATAATGATAGTGACCTCCAGAATGTCCACTTGCGTGCCGATTTCGGCATTTGTGTAGCTTTCTAACGGTTCGAAACGGTTTCTAATCGAATCGCTGAACGGAGATAAAAAGCATCGCCTTCCTTCGGAAACTCCAAAGACGAAGAATTCTCAGAGGTAACACAGCCGGTAGCGGTGGGTTATGGATAAGCTGTGCGAACTCCGCGTCGTTGAATAAAATAAGAATTTGTCTCTAATCGTAACTCAAAACTCGACAATCCAAAGAATAATTGCACAGAGGAAGGCCAGCTGAAAACCGAAGATAAAAAAAACTAATGAAACTCGTTCTCAAATAGTGGAATGATTGTGAATTGTCGATGAAGAGAAGCGTGCAAAGTATAAAGCTATTATCAAGCAAAACAATTTTGTATGTGTATGCATGTATTTATGTATGCAAGAGGATTGGAAAGCGAGATTAATACACGCGACGCGGTGTGCAGTTCTCAATTCGTGTTTTAACGAGATGAATCGCATTACTGTTACGCAAGTAACACGGCAAAGGTTCGTGAAATTGCCAGGATAAACACAATGGACAGGGACACAAAGCAATTCGTCAATGATATATTTGCATAAACTCATATCCACCGCCAAACTGGCCGTCAACATGTATTTTATCAAATATTTACTGGCTGATTTACTTAAAATAGCGGTCACGTATGACGTATGCAAACAGAAATGTGCATTAAAGACATTAAGACGTACTGAACTTTAGACAAAAAAGTGACAAAAAATCTCTGACGTGGTCAAAGGAATGATTATATTTTCTAATAATTTAACATACCTAACGACGACTGCTTTTCCAAGATCGATTTCCCGCCACGAAGTAATAACTTTTAAAAAGGAACACCACTATTATAACATTTTATTTCACACTGTTACAACACTTGACTGGGATTTCTTACGAGTTATCCTTGTTAGAATACGTCATAACACTGATTCACACAATTTGTACCTCGCGGAGGTGTCGAAGAATAATATTCACGAGTGTACGTATGTAACTCTATATATTTTTCCGTGTCATGTAATATAGAGGAAACAAATAAAATTTCCTTGGAGGTGTGTCACCCAAGTTCTAACTGGTCGAAGCGGTCGGAATTGGTCGGGATGCCTGTATACCTGTTGTGGTCGTGGAGTAGCCGGTTTTACGCACAGTTATTAGAATATTCGGTGACGCACGTTCGATTCGAGGATGAATTTTTCCACTACAAAAAACGACCCGAGAAAAGAACTTGAACGAACGCGATCCTTCCCAAATCCATACCTTCCGTACATTCGACCGACCGCTACTGAACTCAAACTCCACTCGACGACTCTGACTGACTTTCGTACGAAAAACCGATTCACAAACACTAACGGATAAAGCGGTAGCAAAGCGCCTCTACAAGCAATAGCAATCTTGGGATGTGACTCACTGCACAGGGACGACTCTACGCTGAAATATTTCGGGTCCCTCTCTCTGCCTGCGTCAGCAGGCCTTCTTACGACCTTTGACGCATTCATTCATTATCACCGTCGTGGTCTGTTTATGATACACTTTATGTCAGAAATGAACAAATTGACTTTACAAACTCATAATCATTTATTTCTTTCAATTATTACTTAACTATTATTTTTTGTTATACTACAATTGAACATATTATGTATATATACACAGTACGTCGACGTAACAAAACTGAAGTAGCAATAATCTTCAGGTCTCTTGCATTTTATTACTCATATAATTAATTACAAAATTATCGTATTCATTATAAATATTTATTTTTCATAGAGGCACGTTCATATATATATCTTTCATCTCGAGTTAACATCGTATTGTCTATTATTAAGTATTTCACATATTATAAATTGTATCACACAAAACATATGAATACCAAAGATGTTTCGCTTTTAAGATATTATACATGACATGTGATACAGCTAAATTTTGTTAAAATATATATACAAATAATAATTTCACATATTATCAACTATTTCTCATATCGCACAACAAAGTTATTAATATTACTATTATTTCTTCAATGCATCACGATGTTATTTTGTAAAAAATTTGTTACTTTACTATAAAAGAAATACATAAAATACATGATTTATTATTTCTACAAGGATTTTATCAGATTTTAA